GATGGGGATGAAGGGAGAAAGTGAGAGAGGGAAAGAATGAAGGGAGATAGAGAAAAAGAAAGAGAGAGTAAGTAAGGGGGTAGTGGGGGAAAGGGGCAGCGGGGGTTGGCTCAGCGCCGCCGCCCCTCGCCTGCTGCCCCCAGAAAGCTGGCAAAGGTGGGGGGAGCAGCGAAAATTAATGGGCTGGCGGGGGTTGGCTCAGCGCCGCCGTCGTTGACCCTTGCCTGCTGCCCCCGAAAGCTGCTGAAGGTGGGGGGAGCGGCGAAAACGGGCTGGTGGGGATTGGCTCAGCGTCGCCGCCTCTGCCCTGCTGCCCGTGAAAGCTGGCGAAGGTGGGGGGAGCGGCGAAAACAGGCTGGCGGGGGTTGGCTTAGTGCCGCTGCTCCTCACCTGCTGTCCCCAGAAGCCTGTAGGGCTCCAAGGGGTCTTTGAAGCTGGGGGTGGGTGGGCGGGCGGAGAGGGGGGAAAACAGGCGTGCAATAAAGGGGGGGGAATCCGGCCGCGGCGAGCGGTGATGAGCTGCCACCGCCGGCCTTCCACTGATTCCCTCCAGCCATGGCTAGTTGGGGGGGGAGTCGGGCGGTGGCGAGTGGCTTATTGCTGCCGCCGCTCTTCATGTGCTCCCTGGTTCCACTCACCCATCAGGTGGTTGTCAGCAGTAGTCTGACGTCTGAGGGGACCAGGTGCAGAGGCAGGGCTACAGCCTTTGTGTTCTGAGGTGGGACTTAGGCGACACGGCCAATGGAAGCTGGGGAAGCTTCTGACGGACAGTTCAAACCTCCAAACACTGTTGGTGCGCATTTTCTCTCCGCTGCGTCTGACGCTGCGTCTTACTCAATTATATATAAGGGAGAGATAAATGTATTTCTCTATTAAAGATGTCTGGTGCTGTAGTAGAGGAACAGTAGGAGAAGCTTCACTGTTGTTGGCTTCAAAAGTATTTGTAGTTCCATAACATAATTTAATTGCAGTCTAATAATTGACAGCTCTGGCTTCCAACTCAAGCATCTGGATGTTAATCAACAAAACTGTATCTGGAGAAGGTTACAATAACTAACAGAAAGAGAAACTTCAGAAAGCTGGTGCTTTGCTAGTCAGTGATATTAATAATGTAAAGCCGAATGCTGGTTTCTCCCTTCTGCTTGCTGGTTGTGAACCTTCTCTCTGAGCAGAGTACAGTGACACATCTGTCAAGCCACATAAATCAAACTTGGCTTTTGGGGTAAATGGGGCTTCAGCCATCATAAACTGGGACATTTTCTGTTTTGATCATTTAAAAAGACAGGCCGCTATCTGTCAAACAGTCCCAGTTGAAGTGATGAGAAAGATTCTTTGACACAGGGCAAGGCCTTTCTCATTTAAGTAGGAAAATCTCAGGGCCCATTTCGTGTTTAACCAGCAAGTTAAGGTGCAGGAATCTGGGCCTATTTCATTTGCACAGAAACAGCTGAGGCTCACTCAAGTAAAATAATGGGTTGAAATGATAGGTGAGCAGCATGCCAGCAGCAAATATAGGGAAACCGAGATTGCCTTCCCACAAATTCTTCAATTTTATGAAAGATTTCACACTGAGCAGTATTCCGTAGCAAATGAAATGCACAAAAATTGTATTGTTTGACAGAAGTGTTCTTTCAGATACAATAAAGGATGATGTTGAAGTCCCTCAGTATCCTAACTTTAGCTACTTTAGTCACCTTCCTTATTTCCTTCTCCATCTCAACATCAGCCTCAAGGATTTCATCTGGTGGGTTATAGAACACCCCCACTTTTAAATAACCCTTAGGGCCCAGTATTTCCACTCATATCACTTCTGTTAGAGAGTTCATTCCCCCAATGTTTTCAAATTTATTTGATTCTAAGTCCTCTTTTATGTACAACATACCACCTCCCCCAACCCATCCCTCCCTCTCCTGCCTATATAGCTTATACTCAGGGATGACTGTATCCCATAGATTTTCCCATTCCACTAGGTTTCTAGATATTCACTATATCAAAATTTTCATTGAGCACCAAGCCTCCCCATCTTGGCTTGGACACTTCTAGCTCATAAAAACTGCAAAAAAACCTGAGGCCTATGTACATTATCAGAACATGTTAATTATATACTGAGCTTCTATCAATCACACACAAGGAGACTAATATAACAGGCAGCTTTGCAAGAGCTATGCTACAACTTTTAATGGCCCTGAGTAAGCACTCCATGCCTGGTTTTACCTAGCATGGAACAGGTGTATCAGCATGGATTCTTTTTGAAAGTAAAAGCAACTTAAATGACAGGGCAGCATGGGATAAGTGGGTAGCTCTCTTGTTTTTTACACAGAAAAAAACCCAAAAACTGCCACAGGATGAACCAAGAGCTTAACCCTCACATCTTATGTAGTGTTGCAAGGGAACCTGAGGTTCAGCTCTCAGCACCTCACCCGTCACTCATCTATTTATGCTGCACCTAAAATGCCAAGGTAGGTAAAGGAAGGGACATGCCTGAAAAAGGTTTTGGTTATTCTAGGACTGTAGAAAACCATTTGGGTGAGGAGCAACGTTACCTCGAACTGCTAAAACTGTGACTTTTTGAACTTCTATCTCTTAGAAAATCTGTGGCACTTACTTTTGAGTACACATGTTTATGGCTCGGTCAGAACCCCACTTTTTTGCGTAGCTCAAGCCAAGCACAGCACACCACTCAACCCACCACCTACCTGTAAAAGTCACTCTCTGGGTCACTGTGTCTCAGCTGAAATGGCATCTTGGGTATTTTGCTATCCAAGGGAAGCAAGTCATCAGGGAGCGGAGGGGAGGTGGGACGGGATGGCAACGGCTCACTATCTTCCATCTTTATGCCTTCTGCTTGCTGCTGGTTCTGTGCCTGAGCCGTGGCAATGAGGTTGCGCAGCCGTCGGTTGTGCTGGATGAGTTGGATCGTGTGAATGGTGAGGCTACAGGGCTCTGAGGGGATGTCCAACATGGTGGTAGGCCTGGGCTTGTTGGCCGAAGGCTGATGTAATGGCGGATCCTGGACCTCCACAGTGCGAAACTCCCGCTGAAGTAAGTCAAACGAGCTGCGGTTGGCTTGACTGGAGGAAACAGGGATCTCACCCCAATAGCGCAGCATTTTCTTTTATTTTCTTCTCTTTTTTGTGCACTAATCCAGTTCAGGTTGCAGAGTCACAAAGAGTCTCTCCCACTGCAGATTCCTCGCCACTAAAAGAAATGAACTCTTTGATCTTGTCTGAAAGATAGGAAGAACAATCCAAAAAGAAGTGCTCGTCACACAGCTCAGGCCTTACTGAGTAATGTAATACGTGGCTAATTTCTTCTTTAGACATTTATGGTACCACTGCCCCAAAGAAAACCCCGGGGGGGGGGGTGCTGGAAACTATAGTTGCATTTTCAAACTACAACAAACTATTGTGCTTTGCCTTCTACTACAGTTGTGGAGAAGTAACTCTCCCAGATCTTGACTCACCCTGTTTATACCATATGTTTGTAATCACTTTTAATTTGCAGTATGCTTTACAAACTTTACTGTGTTTGCCCTCAAAACAACCCTTTGAAGTAAGTCACAATTATTCCAGTTTTACGGAGGATATCCTGAACCTACAAACCACACACTGAATCAATGGCAAAGACATGACACAAACACAGCATGCCAAACTGAAGTCCAGCTCTTTGTTCCATGAGGGACATGCTAGGTGGTAGTCACACTCCTTCACATACACTCCCCCATTCACATAAAAACCAAGGGCTGGATCAGATTTTTACAGGCGCATGAGTGGAGTTTAACCCTCTTCACCCTTACATCCCTCCATTCTTACCAGTTATTTTTAATCTATACATCTCTGATGTTCCCAAGATGATACTCAGGAAGTTTACTTATGCTGATGACATGGCAATTGCAGTAAGGCACAAATCAATTGAAAGGTCTGAGGAAATACCGACTAGTGACCTTGAAATTTTAGCTGACTACTACCGTAAATGGCGGCTTATCCCAAGTCCAGAAAAAACAGAATGCTCCTGTTTCCATCTCAATAGCAATCTTGCCAACCGTGAACTGAATGTCTACTTTAATAGCACCTGACTCACACTCGACCATACACCTAAGTACCTTGGCATTACCATGGATAGGACCTTGAGCAATAAACACCATCTTACCAATGTAGCAGCAAAAATATGCACACAAAACAACATTCTCCAAAATTATGTGGTACAACTTGGAGTGTGTCTGCTACAACATTTAGATCCTCAGCTTTGGGGTTGGTGTGTAGTACTGAGGAATATTGTGCTTCAATGTGGCTCAACAGGCCCGTGTTCACAAACTTGATGTCCAACTCAATACAACAATAAGAACCATCAGCGGATGTATTAAACCCACTCCACCCTATTGGCTACCAATGTTGTGCCACATCGCTCCCCTGCATCTCTGAAGACAAGATGCTCTTCTTCATGAATATAGAAAGATCCTTGAAAACAGAGAGTTGCCCATCCACAGACATGTCTGATGTGGGCATATCCAGAATAAGATCCCAACACCCAGCAATAAGATCTGCACAAATCCTGCAATCACAAAATTTCAACTTAGGGAATGAATGCTTGCAGACATGGATGCAATCAGTTCCACCCGATATCCACACCTGATAAACACCAATGAAAGGCCCACAGGATTTGACTTGCCATGTAAAGTATAGAAGACAGCTAATAGAATATGAACAGGCTATGGCAGCCATGGAGACTTGTTGTTTAAATGAGGCAAAACAGCAGGACCCAAATGCGATTGTGGTGTAGCCCACCAAACTATTTTCCATCTGTCACAGGAATGTGAGTGTAGTGCTTTCCAGGGAGATGTGACAGGGCTCTCTGAAGTCTCCCCAACTGCAACTGAGTGGGTTAAAAAATGTAGATATTAGTATTTAGGTTGCCCAACTGGTCTGCATACCCATTGTATCCACTTGGTTTCGTATTTTATAATATTATATTTTCCTGTGCGTAATTCTACCATACAATATATAAATACTCTACCATTTCAAACCTTTATTGGCATAACAGCACAAATCCATATAAAATACACTAAAATCTCTGGTACTCTACCATTTCATACACCTCCCCCTGCCCCAGCTCAGTTTCAATTCCAGAAGTGAATCAGGTTGGGATAAAAGTACCTAAAATCACATAGAAAGGAGATGTAATGCAGGGAAGAATTAAGCATCATTCACTCACAGATACCACACACAAATATTCTATACAGAAAAACAAACAAACAGGACTGCCCTGTCACATTTACTTCAGCTTCTCAGATGACTACTTAAAAGCAGTGGCTTCCTTGCCTTTGCCAGATGATGTGATTCTGCAGTGGATGCAGAATATAAAATGGTACCAGAGAAACACAGAGAGGCAAATTTGCCTTCAAATTAGAATAGTGAATAGAATGGCCTGGACAGTACGGAAAGAAACTGGTTCATATAGTAACTAAGATTATCTTCACTAAAGATCTTGGATTGTTGTAATAAACAATTGTTAGTCTTACCTTTCCATTTCCCCAAAAGTACAGTTCACACGGTTGAGAGATTTCCGCTATTCTTCCCTCTCTTATGCATACTCCCACAACTCATTAGGTCCTCAATTCTGAACTGAATCATGAGATACAGGCAACAGAGTATTACTCAGTAATACAAATCAACCCAAGTATACAAAATACCAGTTCAGGCATTTTATTTCTGAGTAAAACCTTTACAGCGACTTTACTACCTTGGCTGCCCATAGCTTAAGGTGGGTAGCAGGCTTGCCAGGTTCCCTGTTGGGAGGGGGATTCCCCACTTTTGTGGGCTCCTGCCAGCCACTAGCCAGCTGACTGGCGGGGGGAAACCTCACCCCCAAACAGATGTTCCTTCACATCATCACACTGGGGGTGACACTTTACTTTTGGGGCAAAACTCTGTGGTTCGTAGCCATTTTTGCCATAGAGTTTTGCCCAAAAAGTAGAGTGTCACCTGCATGTTGCCGACATCTTTTCCAGAAGAGATGTCAGGACATCACCGACATCCCTGCCCACCCTGGAACGCCCTCCAAATCCCCCTGCCAGCAGGAGGAAGACACCTGGCAACCCAAGTGGGTAGCCATGTTGGTCTGCAGTAGAAGAGCAAGATTTCAGTCCAGGAGCACCTTAAAGACCTAGAAGATTCCTAGGGTATAAGCTTTTAAGAGTCAAAGAAGAAGAAGAAGAGATTGGATTTATACCCCGCCCTTCACTACCCAAAGGTGTCTCAGAGCGGCTTACAAACTCCTTTCCCTTCCCCTCCCCTTCCCACAACAGACACCCTGTGAGGTAGGTGGGGCTGAGAAAGCTCTTGACAGAAACTGCTCTTTTTCAAGAACAGCTCTTACCAGAACTACAGCTTGCCCAAGGTCATCCAGCCAGGTGCAAGTGGAGGAGTGGGGAATCAAACCCGGTTCTCCCAGATTAGAGTTCGCACACTTAACCACTACACCAAACTGGGTCTCCCTTCATAAACTCTCAAAAGCTTATACCCTGGAAATCTTGTCAGTCTTTAAGGTGCTACTGGACTTGAATCTTGCTCTTGGCTGCCCATAGAAAGCTAATTAGGACAAGTTAACCCAGTAATAGTCATACTGTACCAGTCTCAGCTCATCATCACTCAAACAAGATATATGTATATGTAGAAAACATACACACCTCCTCTCCAGAGAACTGCTCAAGGCCACTCACAAAATTAAAAAATAACAATGAGACTGTAAAAACACCAAGTATAAAAATGGTGAACAACAATACCAACAATTAAACAAAGAGCCCAGTAGAAATAGAAAACAGCGTTAAAAGAACACGCAGCAGTAGGGATGGGTGTGGCAACCACATTTTTTGCAATTCAATTTGTAACTGAAACATGAACCAAGCCACAAATCTATATGAATTGGGAGACTGGCTCGCAAACCAGTTCATGCACATTCGTGACCCCTGCTTTCTGCTCCCCACCGCTTTTGGCAGGGAGCAAACCGCCGGGGTTTAAATAGCTCCAAGCCATTGAAACCAAACAGCTGACCTTTCACAATTTTTACTGCAGTTCATGGTGGTTCATGAAGAGCAGAAAACAGGGGTTTAAACCCTTTAATGAGAAACAGCTGAGCACCCCATCAGTGGAGAACATTAAGTAGTATTCACAGAACAGCTATCAAGCTCGAAGCAAGCCATAAAGCCAACTTTTAAAAGGAAAAATATTTCAATTAAAAGATGGGTAAAGAGAAATATTTTGGCGCCAGGCAAACCTCAAGGGGAAGGGCATTCTAAAAACAAGCCGCCACCACTGGGGGGAAAACCCTGTCTCTGATTGCTACCCTACTCCAGGAGAATCTTAAATAGTAGGCTGTATCAGAGAAGGCATCTTTCAAATAAAAGCATCGCTGTCAGTAGAGCAGCTGGACAATACCCGATGCAATAGCAGTTATCTTTTTGTGGCTCTCCTGCATAGTGTAAGACAAGGGTCCCCAACATGATGCCCATGGGCACCATGGTGCCCACCAAGACCTTTTCTGGTGCCTGCCAAGTATTTTTCAGTAAGGGGCCAGGGCTAAGTGGGGCTGCTGCCCAGCATGGCTTCTGAATGATTTTTGGAGATCTGATTGGCTGTGCAGATTTTTAAAAGTTGCTTTGGCAGCAGCTACCACAGCACAAGGATCTATATTGAGTGACTGCAGGTAAGGTATAGGAGTCATTTTGTGGCTGGCTTTGCCTCCCATGGGAGCCATTTTCTGGCAGCTATTCTGTGACTGTGCCCACCACACTATGTCAGAATTCCAAAGTTGCCCACAGGCTCAAAAACGTTGGGGTGTAAGCACTCTCACATCTACACATCTCAACATTTCCAACCGAAGCACACACTGCAAGGTCAACTACTCAGATCCATTCAATGGGATGAACTCATAGACGGCTGTTCTTTGAATGGCCCCGTTAATCTCTCCAGGGTGTGCTGCACGCTTACTTAGGAAGTCCTGGTAAGTGAACTTCGTGGAACTTACTCCCAATGCGCCGAATCGGGCTGGACAGCTGATGCTTAACTACTACCTGCAAAGTCTGTGTAACGATAGGAGCTACTCGAGAACAGCCGAGTCGAAAGAAGAAGACTTGGTAATGGGGGTGGGTGTAACCATACTAGCACAAACGACTTGCTTCCCATTGGCAATGGAGGCGGTGCCGAAAGACTCCCTGCGTGGGGACAGTGGACCATCAAGGCCCTCATTTCCTCTCTCTTTTCTTACAGAAATAACCCTTCGCTGGCGGCGTCTCGCCTTCTCCCTGCCTCTCTCACTCGGCACATCCTAGAAACACCAAACACCCTCCCACCCCCTCTCCCCCGCCCGCACCCTACCCCTTTACCTGTGTCGGGGCCAAGAGAGACGCCGAGCTCTTCACGGCGGTGCACACTTCCCGGAACTAGACTACGAGGGAAGTGGTTTCCAGGGGGGTCGGTTTGAAGAACGGACGCTTAAGATGGCGGAGAAACAGGAGGAGGCTGAAGGTTTTAAGAAGCCGGCTCTCCCACCACTTTTCCCTATTCGGGAAAAGGAGGATGCCGAGGATGCTCTTCGACCCCCACGGGGTCCTGCCCGGGGTCCCTGTCCGCCCGCGCCTCCGCTTCGGTACCAGGAGCCTCCCTGGGGAGGTTGCCCGGCAGGAGAAGAGTCTTCGGTCTACAGTCTGGAGATGGTGAAGGGCGGCGCGGTGCTGGACAACGTAGGTCTGGGTGGCCGGAGCTGGCTGTTGGTAGGACGCGCTCCGAACTGCGACCTTTCCCTGGCGCACCCGTCGGTGTCGCGGCACCATGCCGTGCTCCAGCGCCGCCCGCCGCTGCCCGCTGGGGAGGAACAGCCCGACCCCGAGCCGGGGCTCTACGCCTACGACTTGGACAGCGCGCACGGCACCTTCATAAACAAAGCACGCATCCCTCCCCGCACCTACTGCCGCGTCCGGGTTGGCCACGTTCTGCGCTTCGGGGGTAGCAGCCGTCTCTTCGTGTTGCAGGTCAGGTGGGGTGGGGTGGGGGGAGAATTCGGCTACGATGCATTTGTTGGGCTTTCAACACTGCCAGCGCGTGTGGATTGGTTATGGCGGAGACGACGTGTGTGGCTTTCAGACTGTTTAAATAGGCTTGCTTTGACTTTGGATGGTCTGTAGAAAGATAGCGTGGTGTGATTATAAACATATAACAATATACTGCAGTATGCATATCATACCCGTTTTGTAGCCACTTCATTGTTTAGCAATCAGTTACCCGGTTCAGTTCGAGGTACTGGCTATCACCTACAAAACCCCTAATGGCTTTGGTTACACGTACATGCAGGACCACCTCTCCTGTTGAGTTCTGTCATGATAGTTTTACTCACCTGAGCAAGGCCTGAACATGCCACCCTGCAAGCAGGTAAGATAGGCAACTGTCTGTACATATACATTTTCTGTGTTGGCTCCAGCCTTGTGGAACAACTTACTGAGGAGGTCAGGAAGGTTCCTGGATGAAGTTTGTCGTTCTGCAGAATGTGCAAAGCAAGTGAAGGGGTCAGTACTACAATATTATGTCACAGTCTAGGAGGGTGCTGTTATAAGGGGACATTATAGTAGACTTTTGCCATTTGCAGTGTTTATTGTGTGCATCATTTTAGTTTTACTGCATTGTTTTATAATTTGGTCTTGGCACTTTTTATTTGTGTGATGCCTTAGACAGCTTTTTGCCTGTGTTGTTTCTTAATTTCTGTAATGCTGGTTCTGTTGTATTTTTATTGGATATGTTGTATTGACTGATTGAATTGTTTTCTGTGTTTTTTGTAATCTCCCTTGCATGTGTGAGAAAACTGGGTTATAAGTTAAATAAATAAACAGTTATTCCCCTCCACATACACAAACTGGCTTAAGACACCTACCTCACAGAGTGTCTGTTGTGGGGAAGGGAAAGGAGATTGTAAGCAGCTCTGAGACACCTTTGGGTAGTGAAGGGCGGGGTATAAATCCAATCTTCTCTTCTTCTTAAATGCACTGCAGGTGATAGATGTATTGAAAAAGCTGTTGGCTTGCTTTGTGTATTTAACTAGTAAAAGCAATTGTGGTAGTTCCAAAAGGTTAAATGTGACATATATCCCTACATAGCAATTCAATCTGTGGTTTATTATTGTTGTCCAGGGGGCTGGATTACAGGTACAAACAGAAGGGAAGAAACAAAGAGTGAGGAATCTCTTTGTAGTGCTTGACTAAATTTATGCAAACAGTTTAAGGACCTCTTCTTATTCTTGCTTAGTCATGCCTTTAAAATATGTATAGAAGTAGATAGAAAACAACAGAATGTATGCATCTTCAGTGTCAGAAATGTCACTTATGAGTGAGCCATATTATCTTGCAGAGATCCGGTGTTCCTGCATTTCACATTTTATTTTAACTTTCCGTCATAATTAAAGCATATACCTACAGCGATTATCTGGCAGCTTTCCTGCATGTTTTTAAAATACATATAGTGGTAGATACAGGCTTGATTTTTCATTTTAGTAGCAAAGCATTGTATTATACTGCAATCAATTGAAAGTGAAGGACATGGAATTAGTTTATATCCAGTATCTGGTCTGTGTACATTGTAAATTGTATTAGAGTGTCTACAGTTTTAAGAAACTTGGATGATAATCCTAAATACACTTATCGAACCAGTGGAATTTACTTATGAGTAAATATGTTTAGGATTGTACAATCAAAAATATTTTTTCCCAGGCATATAATTTCTGTAATTTATTCTGCAGGGCCCAGAGGAGGATCAAGAACCTGAATCAGAATTAACTGTAACCCAGTTGAAAGAACTGCGCAAGCAGCAACAGGCAGCATTAGAGAAAACAATGCTGGGTGATGATTCTGATGAAGAAGATAAAAAAGAGAAGGATGAACAGAAAAGTGGAAACAGTTGGAGTAATGATTTGAGTTGCTCTTGGGGAATTGGTAAGAGAGAGTATATTGCAGAGTGCTTGGAAAAACTGCTAACTCTTCAAGCATTTCTGCGGATTGACCTATATTATAGCCTCCACTTCTGAAACTTTTGTAGTATAGGTTCACAGAGCTTGTTCTGCATTCATGTTGTTAACTGCAATGGAATGATAAGTGAGTTGTGTGTTTTGTTAGAGAGAATACTCTTTGTAATAAGTGACACACTGGTTGGTACACACATGGGCAAAGTTTATCCGGCATGCTCTGGGATCACATTATTAATGTTCATCTTTAACATGTTTCATATTCCCAGTACCATAAAACAATAAAGGTCCACAAATTCAAATAGCAAAGAGTATCAGGCAGAAAGCCCAAGAAGGCTACAACACTGGTTGTGGTAGTTCAACCATTCACACATATTTTATGTTTGCCTCAACTGTGTATTACATACATTCTGCTGTAATGCTGATCTACAGTGTATCAGAACTTTAAACATGTGCTGGGAGAAAATTGTAGTTGATGTAACAGTTTAATTTTTTTAATTAAAATTGTGGATTAATCCCCTTATAAGCATTTGACAATTTTGTAACTCTTTACTTATATGTTCTGAAAATTTATACTTTTCTCAAGGAACTTATACTGAAAGAAGCACACATTTATAAATTACTGGTTTTAGGTTTCTAATGTCTGAAAGGTGAATGTGATCAGTGGAGTGTACACATATCAGTGTTTGTTCTTTGGGTGCATTAGGTTAGCCAATATGTAAACAGAATTCCTTATTTTAAAAAAATGCATACATGGTCCTTTACAGGGTATTCAAGATCTGAGTGCAGGATTCATACGTTTCTGGTCCACTGGACTTTTTAGTTCTTGAATAGATAGGCAATAGAAAAGACTGGGACTGTAGTAAAATTGATCTAAATTTCATTCATTTGTTCCTGTGGCCGTGAACTTATTTACTTAGTCCCATTTTCTGTGGTGTAACAATCATAGCATGATACGTGGGCCTAGATCTGTAGTGCAGATCAACACATATAATGTTTTAATACATATTCATATATTTATAGTTCATAGATTCATCAATTTCAATATAGATTCATAGGTTTCAATATTAAGAGTGCCTTAGGGTGTTTTTTTCCTGTAGGCTAGAGTGTGCCTTCAACTAGAGCTGACAGACAGAATGTAAACATTCTTCGTTATCAAGCTTCTTGGCAGGAGAAGCTGTTTTCAGTTGTCTGGCAGTCCTGTTCAGCTTTGAGTATAATGAAGGGTGGGTGGGCTAAGCTTTTCTAAGAGAAGGATTTACTTGGTATATTCTGTAATGTCTGGGTCAATATGAACTTAGGTGTTTTATCTGAGAATAACATGTTTTTGTTTCGGTATAGAGAATCCTTGGGAAAAAAGTAAAAGGTGAATAAGATCAGATTAAGTAAATATATAAGATACTGTGTAGTCATACCTTTTATTGTAACTGACCAATGAATGTAGATCTACTCAAATGATACTTACTGTCTGTAACCAATTATAATTTCTGGAAATTAACTTTTGTCTACGTCATTTTGAATATAAAATGTTATGTACTTCCTCATTTTATTCAGAAAGCAGTTGATTTTTGCCCAGGCAATATTAGCCTGGCTACTGTTTTCCAGTATTCCATTGCAATAAAATATCCAAAGAACTTTTTCCATCCTCACTGAGACTTCTCTTGCGTGTTCTTGTATTGGCCCGGGAACACACAAGCAGGAATTTGTAGAACAATCTGTACCTGCATAGTGCATGCCCTGTTTCCTTCCAGGTTTATGTGCATAGTAGTTGTGTCAGCCATTGCTTGTAATGGTATGCACCACCTGTATACACGTTCAGCATTCCCCCTCTCCTCCTTAGGCCATGTGTGGATGGACCATGCCTTTAATGTGCAACTAAAATATTACTGATGAACTTCTGTGTAGTTTTCAAATTCAAATGATGTAATTAAATGTTTTTTTAAAGAGCTTGCATCTGACTGCTTCCCATTCTAGTTCTTGTTCCTTATTTTACCTAAACATATCTTCCAGGGGAAGATGCAGAGGAAGAGGAGGGTGAAGAAAACCCAATTGCAATTGAGTTTCAGGAGGAACAAGAAGCCTTTTATTTGAAAGATCCTAAAAAGGCATTGCAAGGGTTTTTTGACAGAGAAGGTATGTGTGATATCTGTCAGCTGCACACATATTGTGTTTAATAATTTCAGTATGCAAGTCGTCCTGTATTGCATAAAGACTCTTGGTTGCAGAGTGTGAGATTTTATATTGAAAACTTTATAGGCTGCTTCTGCACTTGAACTGTAATATGTGACTTTCTGTTCAACTACAGTATTGATATCAAGGCCACTGAATTCCACAGCTTGGTCCAATTTAAATTAGTTGGTCAGTTAAACTTGATTATGGAAACCAAGTTTCACTTCACTAAGTCCTTAGAAGTGTCTGGGTAAAGGTTTGGTCCAGCATTTAGTTTGGATTTACCTGTATGGGTCCTAAGTGGATCTGTCTGTCTGAATTATTTCAGGATAACATCCGGAAATGTTTAGGATATCTATGGTGATAGTTGATTTCAAGGACTTGTTACTAATTAATTATCTCTCCTATATAATAATTCTGTTTTGGAGTGGCAAGATTCGATGCGCGCCAAAATCAGTTGGCTGCCTGAACTGCCACTCAGTAGCTGTTCCAATCCCTTGGTGGCTGCGTTGGCTGCCTGCATTGCCTAAGTCCCACCCACAGAAGCGGTGGCCAGCGTCTCGCCTTCAGTATGGTGGGAGCCAAGGGACAAGACGGACGTTCCAGTGGCCAGAGGGTAAGGAGGCCAACTGCGAGACAACAGCAGAACAGAGCAAAAGGGCAGAGAAGCAGGAAGGGCCCAAGTCACCGCGGCCCGCCATTTGCGGGGCCAGTTGAGGACGGAGAGGTGGCCGAATGCTGGGAAGGGTGGGCCTGGCGACCGGCGGGAAAGGCAGGACCTCCCTCCCCAGGCCAATAACAGGGCCCCAGCATGGTCGGCGACAGGGAAGCTTGAAAGGAAGAAGCCAGCCGGTCTTTAACAGTTAAAGGCCATGTAATAAAGGGCCACCCGTCTAGGTGGGAACATGCCACACAGCCCAGCCCAATGGGTTCTCCGGGGGTGGACCAACGGAGCGCTGTGCAGGGTTCCTGGGCAGGGGGCCTCAGGTCACGCTGGCTTGGTGTGCCTGCTCTGTCTGCTCCCAGATGCCTCCCTTCTCTGGGGCTGGGCCAGGCAACCAGCGAAGAGGACACTTACCCGCGGCGTCAGCCCAGGGGCAGGCGGAGGATGGAGGGCCTGGGCCTGAGTCACCGCAACCCACCATTTGTGGGGCCGGGCGAGGAGGGAGAGGTGGCCGTCAATGCTCCCTCTAAGCTGTGGAGTCTTGTGAGCAAAAATTCTACTTTGTGTGCTACCGGCATTAAAGTTGCGAGCTGCTGCATAGATTAGTTTGCTCTGGAGCCCTCCTTCCTGAGCGGAGACAAAAATGTGTGAGCCAGAGGCTAAAAAACTGTGAGCTAGCTCACACTAACTCAGCTTAGAGGGAACAGTGGTGGCCGTGTGCTGAGAGGGGTGGGGCTGGCGACCAGCAGGAAAGGCAGGACCTCCCTCCCGTCCCCGGGCCAATGGCAGGGCCCCAGTATGGTTGGCGATGGGGAGGCTTGAAAGGAAGAAGCCGGCCGTTCTGTGCCACTTAAAGCCCGGATAATACAGGCCCGTTTGGGAGGGCACGCTGCGCGGCTCAGCGGCAATTGGTTCCCCGGGGGTGGGCTGATGGGGCACTACAAAGGGTTCCTGGGTGGGGGGCCTCGGCTCATGCCAGCCTGGCACCCCTGCTCCATCTGCTCCCGAACATCTTTCTAGCGCCTGTTGTATTGCGGTTACAATGGGCTTCAGTGCTAGTTGTTTAATAATTATAATGAATGGTTTAGGAATTACTTCAGTTGATAGCTCTGTAGAATCCTTACTGTATCACATTTGAGGGAAGATTTAACTGGGAAGTCAATCTATAGCTTACTAAATTTAATTCAGGCTGTCAATTTTACTGGAGAAACACATAGGACAGTATTTATGCAACTACAAACTAGGTTTTCCCCCACATGTATGCTATGAAAAAAGAGGGGTGTATCTTACATTTGCATACAAGTTAAAATTATATTCAGTATTCTGTTTATGTATAACATTTTAAGGGGGTTGCCTTATATTCAGAGGTGTCTTCCTTTCAAGTAGATATAATAATCTGTAAGATCCAATCATACATGAATTAAATAAGTTCACAGAGTGAATCTTCCTTCCTTCCTCCTGCAGCTTTTTGCATCTGCTAAAGAACTACCCTAAGAAGTGGCTTTTGGAGGCTGCAGGGGAAGAGGGGAAAATATAGTCCATGAATTTGTTGCTTTCATGCTTCATTGGATTCAGCCCAGTGTGTGCAAGTAGGCTAACCTTATTCCCCCATCCCATTTTCTGTCTAGGTGAAGAACTAGAGTATGAATTTGATGCCCATGGAACTGGCACCTGGCTTTGCAGGGTGAAGTATGTCTGTGTATATACTTTGATATGAAATAATGGTATGCAGTTACAAGTCTTCCTGTGAGCCAGTGAGGCTGGAGAAGGTGGTCTGGTGGTGATCAGTACTCTTACATTTCAGTTGCAGTGTTGAAATTCAGTTCTAGATTGGTTTAAGAACAGTTTACCAGAGCATAACTTGTATTGTCAGAATTTGAGATCGTTCTGGAGTTATATGCTCCAATTGCTCCTATAAAATAATTAATAAAAGTGAGGATAAAATAAGTGTCTTCAAAATGAACACCACTTGTGACAAAAATATATATTTCTTAAATACTGTAATTTGTTTGTTTCCAAGTTGCAAAATAAAAAACCCCCCCCCCCCCCGGCAATCCAGAAGCCTCTTCAGAGGCAATTTTAAAAAATTATAGATTGGATCTTGTGAGCTATCAACAGAAGGCATTCACAAAACACACCTTGCCCACTAGCAAGGTGTGACGGCTAGAGTGTAAGGCTAGGATTTATTTTATTTACTTCACTTATGTCCCACCTCTCTCCCCAGTGGAGACCCAAGGTGGCTTACATGATTCTCCTCTACTACATTTTATCCACACAACAACAACCCTGTGAGGTAGGTTAGTCTGAGAGTGTGTGGCTGACCCAGGGTCACCCAGCAAGCATCCATGGCAGAGTGGGGATTCGAACTTGGGTCTTCCAGATTTTAGTCCGATACCCTAACCACTGCACCACACTGGCTCTCTGGGATATCCAGGATGGCATTTCTACTGTACCATGGAAGCTTGCTGGGTGACCTTGGGCTAATCACAAACTCTCAGCCTAACCTATCTTGCAAGGTCAAGGTTGTTGTGGGGATAAAATGGAGGATGAGACAATTTTAGCCAGATGGTATCCCCACCGGGATAAACGTGGGATGTAAATATGAAAATAAACTTGCTTCTGTAATGTGTACATGCCATGCCATGCATGCATTTTTTAATTTAGATAAATAAATATGTGCATGCTGCTACAGAAGGAGAACCCCTTGAAACAAAATTAGATAGGTCCTGGAGAAGTGCAGTAAGAAGGAATATAAAGATGGGAAATTGGCTGAAATCGGTTACACCTCTTACATGAGCTTGACCCATTTGTTCAGCTCACAGAACAGCTCGTGCAAGAGGCAAAAGGGAAGATATCTCCCAGTTGCCCATTTTCATTGGAGCCCCCAATGCCACATCCCACTCTGCTTCCAAAGGCAGGGAGTACAGAAGACTGTAGGGGTGAGGAAGAAAGAACAGATCTGTTCTGTGTTCACAGTTTGTAGGATTTATCTCCATCCCTGACAATTATAAATCATCATACCTGTTACCAGACTTCTATTTAGTCTGCTCCGAAACATAAAATTGTATTGCTGATAGCTAACTATGCACTGGAACATAAAACAATTTCACAAAAATTGAGATTCTCCATGTTTTGTGGTGTTTTGAGGAGCTCTTTGGCCCCGGTCACACGGGCCGGATATCGTGGGGGGGGAGGCGTGGCTAATTGGCCCGGCGCAGTTTGATCCATGATTACGCAATCAGACGCGCCGGTGGCACACCACGGGTCCTTCCCTCGGCGCTGGCAAGTAAACGAGGGACCAGAGGGAAATGCCGCGCGCCGGCGCGATCACACCACGGGCGTCTGGAGGCAGCCCGTGGCAAACGTTTACTAGTACCTCGGAGGTACTAGTTTTTTAACGCGCATTGTCGGCGGTAAGCCACGGGTGTGCTCCACTTCCCAGATGTTGGGGTGTGATTCCGCCCAGATAATCCACCCACCATCCGTGCCTCTCCCACGGCAACTTTGCCGTGTGACCGGGGCCTTTGTTTCTCAGACCACTATAATTAATGGAGATTAAAGATCTCCTGCACTTAGGGTGACAGTATAATTAGGGCTGCACTAATTATAAGCAGTGCTTCCTCTAACACTTTTTCTCTTTTGACACAATTCTCTGGAAGTGAGAGGTGCTTCTTATGCTGCTGGAAATTATTTCAAAAAATCTTCTTTTGACTTGCTCCTATCTACAATATCTTGTGTACCAGCCTTACAGAAACAGATGCTGAGGTGCTTTGTATGCAATGAGTTTGAGACAATTCAGAAGAGTACTTTTCAGCAGTATGCACGTGTGTAAGCTAAGCACAGATTTCAAGCCACTATTGACTTTCTGCTGTAACCTTCCAAATTGAACAGGCTGCCTGTAGATGATGTTTCAGGGAAGCAACTTGTGGCAGAGGCTGTTCATTCTGGGAAGAAAAAAGAAGCAATGATCCAGTGTGCTCTGGAAGCTTGCAGGATACTGGATGCTAGGGGTGTGCTGCGGCAAGAAGCAGGTGGGTTTAACTGGACTTTGGTCTCTGAAGCCTGTAAGAAGTGAGCTTATCACCTTTGAAATTTTAACTTGCAGCCCTGCAGGGTAAATCTAAATGTTGTTGTTGTTTTTTTCCTGTATATACATCTCCCTTCCTCCAAGAAGCTCATAGTAGCACGCATTGGGGGCTATCACGTTTTATTCTGTCAACACCCACTTTGGAAATGTCATACTTGTGCTTCCAGAGCGTGTTCAGCTATTTTAGGAGTAGTGGTAAGTAGGTTAGACAATCAGTGTCACTAAACCAGGAATGCAGAGAAATTATTGGTTTCAAGTTATTGTTCAGCCTTTGCTGCGATACCTTTTTGTCATCTGATTCTCCATAGTGTCACGGAAAAGAAAAGCAAAGAATTGGGAAGAGGAAGACTTCTATGATAGCGATGATGACACATTCCTTGATCGAACAGGAGTTATTGAGCAGAAAAGGCTAAACAGAATGAAGAAAGCTGGGAAGATAGATGAGAAGCCAGAAACGTATGATTCATTGGTAAGAACAGCTTCAGCTATCCCAAAGTGAAAGATTTGGAATTAACACCAGCTTCAAACCAGGGTATCTGAAGGACCAGCTGCTTCCTTAGGAACCCACCTGATCTGGTCATCATCTGAAGTTTTTCTCTGGATGCCCCTCCTCTCTGGGGTTCAGTGGGTGGTAGCCAAGGGCACAACCTTCTCTATGGTGGCACCATATTTTGTCACGTGTCCTTTCAGATAGTGCCATTTTTTCCTTTAGACATCAGTAGAAGACTTTTTATTTTCCTAACTCTTTTATATTCTGGAACTGTTCTAGAACTGCTTCTGTTTTTAATGTGGGTTTTCTTGTATATTGATGGCTTCAGTTTTAGATGCCTTACTTGTTTTTACTCATACAGTCAAAAGTGTAGGGGAATTTTAGGGGTCCAGGCCTCTTCCAGGGACCCCCAACCCCATTAGGGTTCTTTTCTATGGATGGGTGGAGTCTGGCTAGGGAACTCAGGCCTACAGAGGGAGAAAAACACAGTGAGAACAGTTGCCACAGTGAGAACAGAAAGTATTTCTTAACTCTAAAACCAAAATCAATAAAACCAAACTCAGTAGCATATATTCAATGTCAATAGCATATAGAAAAATCCCAATACCTGATAGAGTGTACACTTCAGAAAGAGCAAGGAATTCCTGAAATGTGGAATCAAGCCTAGGTGGGGTGTTGGCCAAACAGCCTCAAACAAAGCCCAAAGTCTCCTTTTTAAACTCTTTTCAGCCAATAGGAATCCAGGGAGGAGTCAGAAGGCCAAGAAAATTCAAATATCAATAAGTGTCACATGTTCTTCATTTCTCTTTCATGTAGAATATGGGGGCAAAAAAAAGATTGCTTCTTTTTAAAGCCATAATAAATATGCATATTCTTCCAACTTCTTGACTTTTTATGTAGGTTGCAAAATTAAGCGCAACTGAGAGAGAGCTGTCCGAGATAGCAGACAAACTGAAATCTTCAAAGACAGGTAAGGCCAATTTCTTTTTAAGCTTGAGGAGGATTGCAAGGGGAAAAGCATAAAGTGGGATCCAAAGAGCTGCAAACAGAGCTTCACTTGAGCATCTGGGCATTCTTCTTCCTCCCCTTTGCCCTCCTCTGGTTCCCCAAGCTGTGTTCACAGAAATACCCGTGCTTTGAAAACAGAGTCAATCTTTTCTTTTTTATCGTGGAGCTTGAAAACGACGCATTCTGGGATTACCCATCTGTAACTGATAGAATTTGTTTGTAAGAAAAGGATTAATTCTTTATAGTTCTTTCTCCCCTGTCTTATATGAAATGGAATGTTGTTTAAAATCCTGATATTATTGTCCCCAATTTTCACCCCAAGGGTGTTCCCGAAGTTGCTTTCAAAATAGCATCTCTCACATTTCTCTTCGAGAATCTGACCACTATTTCCCCAGGCAGATTATTTTTCTTGATGTATGATGAATAAGATCTGTAGACCACATCCATCTCACTGCAAAGATACTCCGCTGTTAAATCTGTCATTGGGGCTGTTGCTTCACTCAACCGTTGCTTCAGATTCTCTCCTCTGAGTTCCGGGACCCCTTGGAACCGAAAGACCAAATTTGTTTTATCCATTTGTAGGTGTAAGAGTTTTGTCTCTTCCGTAGCTTGCTTCATTTCCAGCTTTTGCATTTTTTTTCTTAATTTTTTTAGTAGTGACGTCCATTTCCTTCACCTTCTCTCCCATTTGCTCTGTTGCTTTTAAGGATTGGGTCAGTTGCATCTGCTGCGCTGCGAGACTCTGCCCAATTACTGACAGTTGTTGTTTAATGCCAGTGATCTCGTCCAGCAGGGGGCGCAGGGAGTCAGCTAAGAGTTTTGAGAGCTCAGTGACCTCATCCGTTCGAGGACTAGCCCCTAGTTTCGATTTCAAAAGCTTCTCTTTCTCCTGTTTCTTCCCCACCATCTTTTTAAATTTGTTTACTTTTCAAAGAAGTTGCTAAAGTCTCTGATATTCGCCCAAACACTCTCCTGCGCTCTGGTAAGTCTCTTAAAACAGTTTTAATCGCTTATTTTTCCACTCCCCCCTTTTTCCTTCCGTGTTTCGTCTATGTGTTTGGGAGGGATCCCTCCCCCGCTCGCTTTCCCGTCGCTCTTTAGGGGGGCCAGTTTCTTTTTATATCTTCATGCTCACTTCAACCCAACTCACAGTTCGTTGTTGGCCATTCGGCCTCACTCGTCATCATTTATTTCGCCCAATCTCCAACGCTTGTCCCGGTCAGCAACACTCGTACCATGCGGTCACTCAGCGGCAGGACCTTCAGGGCGGAGGGGTGCCTCAATTCTCCAGCTTTCGGCCATCGAAGAGGTCGCCCCTCAAAAGCCCCCTGGCTGGGAGCCTTTTACCAAGGCTCCAGGGGGGTCGCGACCCGTCGGACCCCCTCCCACACGCTGGTGTGCAGTTTACATCCTCGGGACGTCCAGGAGATGTGTCTGCCTGCGTGTCGCCATAAACCAGAAGCCTCAACCATTTACACATTCTTATAGGATGCTCATATTGGTGTCAAACTGTATGTTTGGGGGTCAGTAAAACCAATTATACTAGTCCTTTTGTTGTAACAATAAAATGTTGTTTTTAAGGTTTCTAATATTTGGGATGGATGATAAATCCAGAGCAACTGTTAATTCTTAACATATTTCTTATTTTTTTTAATATTGGGACAAAATGTAGCAGGAGAGTTTTTAAGGTGACAGCTCCTAAAAGTACAGAACATTATTAATTCTTCTGCCTTAAGTAACAGTAAACAAAATATTACAGCGCTTGTTTATCAGTTTGAATGCTTATTTATTGGTTAAACTTTAATCATTAAACAAAAGTTACAGTCCTAATATGAAAAGTAATTTTTCATGCAACATTTTTATAGTTCTTCAGACACTTGCAGAAGATTGAACAAAAATTCTCGTGCTTGCACACCTTAGATTTGCAATTTTTTCAGCTACACAATGTTAGTATTCCTCCAGTGCAGGTCTGAGACACTTCGCTGGTATCAAATGCCCGTCTGCCCCCTCCCAGCCATTGTCCACAGGATTCAGTGTTGAATGGTTAGGAGGGAGGAATATAAGTGACTCTCTGATGCCTGGAAATGCCTACTGAATATGTTCTCTGATGGAGTTTAAAGGGAGCTGGCCATTAGTATATATGAGATGAATCTCAGCTATTGTGGATCCAGCACTATTTCTGTAGGAGGCTGGCCTTGCTCTATTGCACAGAGAAGACACGGGGGGGGGGGGGATTTTTTAAAAAAATCTACATTGGATTCTTCTTAGCTAGATCTCCAGCTGCGTGATAAGAGAACATTGTAGATATTGTAAGTCTATTTTTAGGTATTCTGGTTTAGAGACCCTAACCTTCCTCTGCGATTGAAGGAACCCCACTTATTGCAACTGTTTCAGAAGGAGATTGTGTTGTTGTTATTATATAGATGAAGTTTACTGTTAGGGCGATATTCATGCATGGTCAGCTTCTTCCTTCCCCACCTTTATGTTGTGTCCCCAAAATGAAGCCCCCCCTATGCTTCAGGATAAAAACTTGAGGTAATCCATTAATGGCTTAAAAGAACACTTGAGATAATGCAGACTTTCAGCTTTCAAGTAGTAAAACATAGAAATGTAGTCTCCTTAGGCTTAGGCTAACACCAGGGACTAAGTTTTTATCTTCTCTTAAATTGCTGTGTCATGTCCATCATACTGGCAGGTAAGAGATTACTGAGACACAAATACTAGTGATAAACTGTTGTTGTCACAGCATCTGGCAGTCCTTTCACTGCTGTTGCATGTAAGCTTCTATAACAGGTTTCAAGCCCTGACTCTCTCCTGACTCTCTCTGAGTACTTAACTTCACAGCTCTAAAGAACAGTAGTGAGTCAGGAAAGCTGAAGGAGTGACAGGCTGAATAGCTGTTTTTTTGCCATATATCCCTAGGGATTAAGTAGATGTTGGAGTCGAGACAGTTTGCAGACAGCTTCCTAAATCCTTCTAAACAGACTAGTTGATGGAACAGTTGGATAAAGCCATCCATTTTTCCGCAGTTGTATAAAAATGTCTTGTTTAATGTTTTGTTTGACAGTCAATCTGTATGGGCCAATTTGATATTATGTACCAGAGAAGCAAATTACTCATATTGGTAATCTTTATCTTGCATTGGATTTGCTGTACTACTGTAGCTTCTTAAGAACTAGGGGTATCAGACTAAGTATAGCCAAAGTCTCTTACTGAGGCAGAAGGAGGGGATTTGCCCACTACCGAGAACATAGGATGCCCAAAGTGAGGCTTATGTGGAGCAGGGTTGTCATTTGTTGCTCCCATTCCACACACATCTTCACCGCAGTGTGCTGCTTTTTAAAGGCCCAGATAGTTCTTTCTTCATGCTGCCGCACCTGCAGATACACTTGTGCGCACACATAAGGGAAATGCCTGCAGTTGCCCACTCAGCAGACCTTTGCACAGGTGGCATTTATTCCCTAGAAAAACAGTAGTTTGCACATGACTGATTCAATGGGTCAGTGCAAATGTAGATCCTTTTTATATAGGGAGCAAAACAGAGGGGTTTTTTTACAGTGCATTTGTTGATCAAGTGACTATGCAGGGGGCATGTAAATGATTAAATGCGCTTAATCAACTTATTACCTTTTGCACTAGGTAGCTGTAGTAGAGCATATTATTGGCTTTAATTTACAGCTGTACATTTTATTCTAAATCAAGCAATGCATTACTTGTCTGAACAAAAGAATAGTGGTTGAGAGAATTTTAGACATGGCCCAGTCTGATATTCTTAACAGTGCTGAAGCTGATCTAACAGAGGTGGCAAATGATCCATTTTCAGGCATCAGCTTCTGTTCTGCCCTACTATTAAATGTAGGAACTATAGGATTGTTCCAGATCTGGGGGGGGGGAGTTGGGGGGGGGGGGGGAGAATGTCCAAAATTCCTTACACAGGGCAGGTGCTCTTGGTTGAAAGAGGGCTAATTAGTATGCTGGTGACACAATATTTTTGTAATTTTGGTTATCTCTGAACAAATACATTGCAGAATTGAGCAATATTAACAGGCATTATTTCTTCCTCCCACAAATTAAAGACTATGTGAAGTATAACAATATGATTACAACTATACAGAAAATATAAACACTTCTGTGAACAAAGCTCTTCCAAGTTTGTTTCTATAAAATCGAATGATTGTCCGGATTGTGTTTAATGGGAGAAATGTATATTCCATGTAAACACGCATAAAACTTTGAAGGGCTCACACGAGACACGATCTCTTGAGGGTAGAGGAATCTGTCTGCCCCAAAGGAGCAAGAGACTTTATTTTATACACACTCTGCCCCCCCCCCACCGTGAGGTGAGGCTGTTGGCTTGCACGTACAGAAACAGGGAAAAACAGATACTTAGACATTCGCCTAAAATGCTTGCACAGTATCTTAAGACTTGCTTGCAGTTTCAGGATGTGCGAAGGTCAGGACTCTTAGTGTACCAAAGTCACTGATCAACCCTATGTTTACAGAGTCTGGATATGAACAGAACCAGGACTGGTGTGCCTTGTATTGCTGATCCTCCCCACAAAACTTCAAGATACCCATCTGGCTACACACATTTTGACAGAATCCTGTTGCCCGTCTCACCATCTTTACCCCCCGTCTGCATGGGGCTTGTTGACTCTCTCTTTCTGAAAGGAGAGCAGTACTCGCAATGTGCATAAAGAATCAACAGGATCGCACATTTTTGTGTTAAGCCCCACCACCACCACCACCAAATTTGATCCTACATGTAACCAATTCCCATTAGTAAATCAAACAAGGATCTAAAGGAATCCAGGTATATCCCCAGTCTTTAAAGGAAGAAAAAGCATATTGCTGAAGAAGTGGGATAATTTATGTAAGGATTGTTTAAGGTTCAGAAGCTTATAATTACTGTGAAATTGAGACAAATGCTCACTTTAAAGAAAAAAAGATCCTACTGTGATTTTTTTTCTTGGGCATCAACTGCTTCTTGTTAGTTACTAAAATGTGAAGCATTCATGTATTTTTTATATATATTTCCTATAGTGCAATCCCAGTCAGCAGCTCAGGATTCCTTGGATGAATTTATGACTGAAATAAAATCAGGATGCGCCTTAGATAGTGTGGCACGTAAAAAGCTTCACTTGCGGACCTTTGAACTGAGGAAAGAACAACAACGTTTGAAAGGGTTAATTAAGATTGTTACTCCTGCATCACTGCCTGAGCTGAAATCCCAGTGAGTCTTGATTGTACAACACAATAACCAGGGTGTCTGTGTATTCTTTTCTTTAAGTGTAGCCCTCTTTGACGTTTTGAGTACCAAAAGAACATGGACTACAGCATTGGGATGACAACAGACATGTGACATAATCTATGAAATTGGAATCTTGTGATATTGGAATGCTCAATACAGGATCAGGGATGCTCTAGGCCAGGGGTGTCAAACATATGGCCTGTGGGCTGGATCTAGCCCCTGCAGGGCTGCTATTTAGCCCGCAAGCAACTGGCTCTCTGCTGCTTCCTGTTCCCTGCATCACAGCTCCTTTTGTCCAGTCTCTCCTATTTTCTGCTTTGCAGAGGAGAGAGAGAAAGCCAAGCCTCTCTTCCCTTGATTGGCTAAGGGCTCCTCCCCTCCTCTGGGGAGGGAGAGAGAGGGAATGTGACACAGGGGGGGGAATGGTGTCTTGTGGGACTTATAAGTAGACCAGCAGCGTTTTATTCCAGGTATAAGCTTTTGTGTGCATGCACACATTTTCTTCTTCAGAGACAGAGAGGGAGGGAAAGA